CAAAGCCACCAGTAGATACTCAGATTGATGAAGAGGTTGAGAATATTTAAATGATGCCACCAATTCTATATGGGGATGGTAAGAAATCACCTCTACCTAAACTTCTTTATCATCAAAAAAGGGAGAACATAGTGTGTAACTCTAGTATACAAAAGGAAGATGAAGGTATTCCTATCAGTAGTGTTCTCCAGGCAAGGCATTCCAGAAAACTCACTTAATACCCCATGACCTGTCCCTGCCCTAAGGTGCATGACCCTGAAGAAATGAGTTTACCTCTGTAGGTCTGTTTTCTCATCTTTAGAAGTGGTGCCCTCCCAGCTCGATGACCACATGGGCATGGTGCCTTTCTTGATAACAATGGTAGCCTAACTCCAGAAGACCTGGTGAAAGCTAATAGTCCTGGACTTATTTAATGACAGGCACTGTGCTAAGGGCTACCCATTTGGATCATCGCATTATGAGGCAGGTATCCTTCTATTTTACAAACCAGGAAATTGAAATAAAGGTTGAAGGATGTGCCCAACATCGTGGAATCTGGGGCAGAAAGGGGCAAAGTCAGAACTCTTATACAAGTAGATGTTAACCTCTACCACCTCTTTAGTACTGGGAGGGAACGCTGTCGTGCATACACTTCATCACACATTTTAATATCCAGAGGAGGCTTCCAAATTCTTCCCTGCTAGTCCTCTAAATTGCAATCACATTCCTGAAGAAAATTACAGTTTTTCCTTGGCCTTTGTTTATACCACAGGTAAATTATAACTAAAATGACTTAGTGAATTACTGGTTGCAAATTACAAACACCTGCAAGGAAGATTTTCCTGCATATAGAGAAATGCACAAAAAGATGTCATTTTGGCTATCTTTCTTCCAGTACCTAAGAGTGTGCTCTCCTCCACTACCAGATTGTGAGGACTAGGGAAGGAATACACAGAGCTCCCTGCTTTTTGCGGATGTGGGGCATAGCCACCTGCCTTGCCAGGATTCAGCCTTCCTAAAAACTAAGAGAGGGTGATTTCTTCTACCCACAGAGGGTGATGAAAGTGTTCTCAGTTTCTCTCTATAAATGGTCCTTTAATTTGTTTAGGAAACAGTCTGATTACTTGCATTTACAAAAATACTCAATATTAGAAAATTGATTTGTCATGAAAAAATACGACTATTGTTATGTGGCATACTATACCACCACAGAAGAGGGTTATATATATCTATATATCTATATATATAGATATATATATTCTATTTTAATAACATGCATATTCATATTTGAGGATGCTAAAAACAAAAATAAGACCTATTTTACTGAAGTATTTGACTACTTAAATTTTATAGGTATCCTATTTTTCCACTCAAATTGAAACATCGACTATTCGTAATCATAAATTTTAGCCAAGAAAAATCTAGCTGGAGCCATCTAGCATTTTGGCAAAACTTAAAAAACAAACAAACAAAATCTATCAATCTCTCCTGACATTGACAGGCAAATTCTGAGAAAAGCCAGCTCATTCTGGACACAACAAATGAGAGGCTTTCCTTCCGAAAAGGGGTTTTCATTCATTCAGCTCAAAAGTAAAGTGGAATGAACAGACAGATGGCTCAGTCCGGTCTCATTAGTTTTGAGTTTCTAGACTGGGGTTGGCCTTCTCACCCCCCTTAGGCCATCCTGTGCTTGACACTCAGTAGGCACACAACAAGCATGTCTTGATAAAACATAACTCAGAAGGGCCGGCGAGATATCTTAGCGGACTAAGCACCTGCTTAGGCAAGCGCAGGGACCAGGGTTCGATCCCCAGTACCACAGGCCTCACTGGCCCCACCCTCAGGCACGATGCACTGGGCACCTAAACCAGGCATGGTGGCTAACATCTGAAACCCCAGCAATGGGGTGGCCGAAAAACAGGAGATTCACTACAAGCCCGAGCTGCATAGTGAGACTTTACCAAATACATTTTTTTAAAAAGGAAAAGAAAAAATATAACTCGGACTTCTCGTTAGACATTTTCATGACGAACAACAGAAAATAATTTCATGTTATTAAGCAGGATATGAAAATTAAAGAGAGAGTTTCTTATGTTCTATTCACTTCATCTCATGTGTTCACTGACTTAAAAAGTACGTGATTAAACTTATTTTGTGGAATTTTATGTACAAAATAATCAACTAACCGAAAACTGAAAACAATTTCAATTTTGGATTTGTTTTAACAGATGATTAAAGAAAAATGCCTCGTGATCACTTTGTCTTCATGATTAATATGAAATCATGGATTGATGAGACATTGAAATTAAATTGGTTTTTTTTTTTGAACAATTTCAAATAGGGAAGCATTAAATCAAAACAAAGGCTGCTCCCCCCCCCCTTTTAATATTTATTTCCAATCATCTCACATAACGGTAATCACACAGAGTAAAAATAAGATCTGCGCCCTTGGATTATGCTGGGCTCATTTTGTAATCCAAATGCTCTTGATGTCCAGGGACATGTGCAAAGAAACTGCCACAATTTTTCTACTGTAAGAACTGATGAAAGTCTAATGGAAATCAAACCGGGAAGATTCAAGGGAAAGGAGGAATCTGTCCAAGACTTCAGACAGCAAAAATAGATCTGCTGCGCTTCTGAACGATCTCAGAAAAGTGCTCCACGGTGGAAACCTGGCAGGCTCCCGGCAGCTGGAGCACTTCCATCCCGGGGGAGACCTCACAGAAGCCAGGCTGGGCTGGGCCTGGGGTGGGACCTAGTCCTCACCCAGGCGAACGCTGTTCTAAACACTGTCTCCCTTCAGTCCTCCTCCCCCAGCCATCTTTGCTGATCCAGATGGAGACCGTTGTTTTGGATGGAGATGCTGGTTACAGTGGTACTAACAGCAAAGTAGACATGAGCTGTGGGGAGCTCACCATCACCCAATCAATTCCTGCCATGGTGCAGTTCTGCAAGTCAGAGCCTGTTCCGCCCAGGCACTTACTTCCCACTTCCCACGGCCTGTGGTTGCAGTCTCCACCTAAAGGTGGCCTTCCCACCAGGCACAGTCACCCTCACTGAGCATTTCTGTAGACCTCATTGACATTAAGGGTTGACACTGCAGGCGTGAAACTGAGCGTGGGATACATGCCACTGCCCGTGGACCTCACCCTTGTGACAGCTGTGCTCAAATGATTCAGCTGAATGCAAGGAAAATGTGGAAACGATTGACCCACCCAGGAGTGGCAGAGCCAACTGAATGAAGTTCTGAAAGCACCCTGCCCCGGCACGTGCCCCAAGCGGAAAGGAGAGTAAGGGAATTGTGTAAAGAGGCCCAAACACGAGGAACAAAGACCACTTCGAGAAGAGTACTTCACGCCGTTGTGGGCAAGTCTCTCCCTGAGTCATTCAAGAACATCTGCATCAACGCAGTTTAAGAAATCAGAGTGCTCTATCATAGAAAAGAAAGTAATATGCGCCGGGAACATGAACTTCACACTTGTCTAACTATATTAATGGTGCTATAAATAGACCTTCACCTGCTCCTCCTTCCCATTTAGAAGGGAACAAGCCAGAATGGTTTGAATTACAGATTCAGGAGAAGCACAAGCAGAAACGTCCTGGCAGAACAGATTTCCAAAGGAAAACTCTGACGCGTTTTCTTCTCTGCAAGTAGAGGAAGAACAAAAAGACGTCCTGCCAATGAGGCTGGGAGGAAATCTCTCTCTCCAAGTCCCTTTCAGTACTAAAAGTAATAAAGGGAGATAAAGATGTCATGCCAGGAATCTTCCAGGCTGGCTGCAGGGAGGGACAAGGACCTCTTGCTGGAGCCTGCAAGGGTCAGAAGGTCCACTCTGCTCTGCCGGCTACAGGGCTTGGCCCAGTCGGTGGCAGCACGACCTCCCACGTGGATTTTTCTCTTGCTACCTCATGGAATTCAGTCAGAAGGCAGCACCCACTGAATAGTGTAGGGGGAAAAGAAAACATTATTTAAAAAAAAAAAAGATGGTACAATTTTCCCATGCATAATATGGAGCACCATCTGGTTCAGGATATCCAAAACAAATTGTCAAATACCAAAGATAGCTATTTTGGGCACTTCGTAAAATTTAGGCAAGATCCATTTCTTGGCTTTTGGAGGCAAATAAATACAGGTTCATATTTGTATGCAAAGCTAAATGCACTTCCGTGGAGACATTTCCAGATCAACCCCTAACCAACCGCCCCCGCCTCCAGCTCAGCCACCGCTGGATAATCGAGGCCTTGCACACAATCTCCACACACACACACACACACACACACACACACACACACACACACACACACATCATGGGCGGCGCAAAAGTTTGAAGCACACGAGAGACGGGTAACAGGAAGTTACTGCCATCTACAGATTTCCTCTCACTGCTCGAGGGAGCGAGCCAGGGATTTCTGCTTGAAAAATATCCACTGGCAAAACGGACATGAGCTGTTGGGGTGCATCTTGCTCCCGGTGACGAAACGCGCTTCAGAACCCCGTGCAGAATCGAACACTCACTGACCGGCTCTCCACGAACAGAGCCCCGAGGGTTCTGGCCCAGCGCTGCCCCCCGGTAGGCAGATGACGGGCTCGGAGTAACTGAGCCCATCACTTTCTGCGTATGGGACTCAGCACAGACAATTTAGAGGCAAAGACGCGCAGTGCTATCTTTGCTGGTGTTCCTGGTCATTAACCGCTTTCTCCGGGCATGCTTTTTTACAGAGTTATATGGAACCCCAACCAAACTTCCCCGCGAGCCCAGAGCCCCTGCAACAGCGCAAGGACGCCGGCGGCGGCGGCGGCGGCGGGCGCGCCGGGCACCCCGGGCTGAGTCGGTCCCGGCACTCGGGCTGACGCCGCGGCGGGCAGCGGAGTTGGCCCGCGCTGCGCAGCGGCGTCCACCTGGGGCACGCCCCGGCAACTTTATCTCGGGCGAGCCTTCCAGGAAACTTTTCCCCCGGCCGAGCCGCGGGCAGCGGGGCCCCGGGGCGGCCCGGTCCGCAGACACGGGAAGGCCACTCACCAGCCCGAGCGCGAAGAAGACGGCGAGCAGGGCGAGGCAGGCGCCCATGACGATGAGCAGCAGGAAGACGATGAGCGGGTGCTGCTGGCTCATGCAGTAGTAGGACTCGTACAGCCAGTCCCGGGACCGCTGCAGCCCGTCGCCGCCGCCCGCCGCCGCCGCCGCCGCCTC